TAGGCAGAGAGGCAGGAAGAGAGGGAGGGGGAAGCAGGCTCCCTGCTGAGCAGAGAGCATGATGTGGGACTCGATCCCCGGACCCTGAGATCATGACCTGAGCCGAAGGCAGAGGCTTAACCCACTGAGACACCCAGTTGCCCTCAGATTTCTTTATTTTAAAAGTTGTGAGCAGATAGTCATTCTACCTCAGCCAGCAAACCCTAAGGGCTCAGCATATACCAAGATGGTTTGAGTTGGAATCAAATAAAGCATTAATTTGACACTTATGCAGTAGGATGCTTCGCCATTATTTTGCCAAGAAAATTAGTGTATCTGGGAAATCAGGCATAAATGGTAGGTAATTCATTTATTACTTTTACAAAAGTAAGATTTTAAAAACTTCTTTCTTCTTTGTTATATTTTTAATCAAGGTAAGCCTCTATAGTTTTGTTTTATTTATTCTAGTTGTCCTCTCCTACCCTCTATCCAACTCCTCCCTTCCACCAATACACTCACATATTAGAGGATCATTTAGGGCCACTAACTCAACCCTTTGTCTGGTTGACATTGCTTGTGACCTTTTTGGCCCTCACTGTGACCCCAGTGAGGCTTCCTGGGTGACCCTCCTGGAGTCTCCCACCCCCAGCACGTCAGGTTCCATCCTCTGTCAATCCTGACACACCTCCAGTTGGGGGTCCAGCATCCAGCAGATGCTCAAGGACTAAAGGCTGCAGCTGGACTTCCTGGAGATGACAGCATGCTCCTCACACCAACAAGATAATGGGAAGCACATAAGCTGAGAGTATGGACCTGGGAGAGACCTCTGAGATCCAACTTGCCCCTCTCTCAAAGGGTGAAATGAGGCAACCTGCCAAGGAAACCCAGCTAGGTAGAGAAAGACAGATGGATGAGAACTGAGATTTCCTGTCTCCTGATCTCCACTCTCTCCAGTATTCCACAGGTGTAAAAGAGTAACACATTTATCTACTGACAGATTACTTGTGTTCTCTGTTTTTCTTTCTTTTTTTTTTTTTGAATGGACATTGGCAGCAGCTTTCAATAAAGGAAGAAAGTTTAATATAATTTAAGCAAAGGTAAAGAGAATATATATATAGATAGATATATATATATAGATATATAGATATATATATAGATATATCTATATATCTATATATATATTTAAGGGAGTGAGTGGGGAGTTTTCAGTATGAAAGAGGCCACCTGGGAGTATAGTACTAAAGCTAAATACTTAGATTAAGTTCTGAGTTTCCTGGAGGCCAAGTTGAAAATGGAAACACTTTGAGTTACATAACATCCATTATCTAATAAGAGAAAGCATTCTAGACTTCATCCAAATGTTCATCCGAATGTTAATCTTGAGTGGAATTGTCACCTATATTATAATAGATAATGTCTTCAATAATTCTTTTATAAAAGATTTGGGGCAATTTTTTTTTTAAGATTTTATTTATTTATTTGCCAGAGAGAGAGAGAGAGAGAGAGCACAGGCAGGCTGAGTGGCAGCAGAGGCAGAGGGAGAAGCAGGCTCCCCGCCGAGCAAGGAGCCCAATGTGGGACTCCATCCCAGGACACTGGGATCATGACCTGAGCCGAAGGCAGCTGCTCAACCAACTGAGCCACTCAGGTGTCCCTGGGGCAATTCTTGATAGAGTTCATGCTAAATCTTGGTTCTGTCTAAAATCAGCATTTCTTTGGGAACCTAAAGCACTGGGGTTCAGGTATGTAGTTGTATCTTGATTTGATTCAGGATGAAGTTTAAAGTTTTTAAAGCAATGGTTCTCAAATATTAATGTGAAAATAATTTATGGGTACGGTTTTCTTTTCTATGTAGATTTACTGCCCTCCCTCACCCTCATCCCTCATTCCGTATGTCCAGGATAGAGCCTAAGAATTGGCATTATTAACAAACCCTGGGTACGACTCAGTGGCTCAGTTGGTTAAGCCTCTGACTCTTGGTTTTGGCTCAGGTCATAATCTCAGGATCGTGAGACTGAGCCCTACATGGGGCTCTGCAATCAGCTTGAAGTCTACTTGAAATTCTCCGCCTCTCTCTCTCCCTCTGCCCCAACTCCTGCTCTCTCTCTCGCTCTCTCTCTCAAATAAATAAAATCTTAAACACACACAATACAAGCTGTGGTTCTGATCCAGGGGACCAGTGGGACACATTCAAAGAAATACCGGTCTAGAAGAACAAATTATTCCTATGCTCCTTAGCTTTGATCCACCCCTTTGAATATAAATTTTCTCCACTTGGTTTTGACTAGCAGCCAATAGCCTGAAATTGAAGATTCAGGGAAGATAGAGGATATGCATAGGCTCTGGGTTATTGAGATTTCTATGTTTTATATTCCACACATATACCCAGTAAAGATGGGGACTGTAGGGGGCCATGAAAAAGGCTGGGGATAAGTGGAAGAGGAGCAGTCATAAGGGCCAGCCTGGAAACGCCAAAGCTAACCTTTGTTGCTTTGCCATTTTCTTAGGCCCAGCCTTATTTGGGTTCTGCAGTGCACAGGGCAATTTGTGCCTTGCCTTTCTGTCTTCGCCTACAGTTTATGCAAATACCTTCCTGGAAGTCCATCTGAATCAGAGACGGAGGGCTGAAGTGGGGGGTCCATCGAGATCTGTGGATTCCTAAAGTTTTCGTGGTGGATTTCAGGGGCCCTGAATTCCCTGAAATGATACATGAATATTTTGTGTGTATGTGTATTTCTGTGAAACGAGGTTCCAGTGACAACTTTCATCAGATGCTCAAAGGGACAATAAATGATCCCAAAGAATGCAGAATCACAAGGAATTCCTGGTGGGGCTGAGGTACATCAAGCTCCCTGTTCATGTTGGTGTGTTCCATCCCATGGCAGCCTAAGGTCAGTTAGTTGACAACTTCCTTGGTGACAGTTAGGTCACTAAGTATCTCTCCATAGGAGCCACTGTCCCTGCCCAATCTGAGGATTACAGTAGCAAAGCTGTCAGGCTTAATTTTCACAAATTGTTTTGGGTAATTAGTCCCTTTTAATTGCTCATAGAAATAGTAATTTTAGGTGACAACATTATTATACGCTACTTGTTAATGCGTCCTCCAGGGTCGAGAAAACACCGATGGGGTTGCTATGACCTGTTCTTTTCCATCTTTGGCATTCCCTTTGAAATCACTAGAAAAGACATTTAGTAAAGCCAGCTTCCACTCTGTGAAAAGTACAGAGCACGAGTTTCCTTTTATCCTTTTGCCAAGTGAAGGATTAGAGAAAGACTTTCAGCTTTTCCCTACTACTGCCAACCCAAGTCAGGCTTCACAGACTTGCTGATCATTAACTCAAAGAGCTGAGGAAGTTTCTAGCCCTTCCCTTTGCTTATTTACCTGTTCAACCAAGTTGCTTTACAAGTGAGTGAGTTTTGAATACATAGGGTCCTAGGTGATAAAATATTTGACTCAGTTCAAGTTGAATATTTTCATTGCTTTTCACTTCACTGAACAGGAGAATCAGGTTGACCAGGAGTTCAGGGCAGGTCTGGGTAATGGTTCACCATGTGCCTGCTCGGAGGAGCAGTAGATGGAAGGCAGAGAACTCTTCTCAGCTCTTCAGGAGGCTGGGAATTGACTATTTACTGTGTCATTCTGGGCCATTTGTTTGACCTCCTTAAGCCCTCATTTCATCATCTCTCAAAGGGGATAAAAATAATAGCTAGCTCATAGTATGGCTGTAAGGACTCAATGATATTGTAAATAGTTGGCATATAACAAGAACTGAACCAAACGAAAAGGATAGCATCTCATATCATTACAGTCCATTTTTCCTTCCCAAATTGAGGTCTTATTAAGCAGTCTGAATTAGTGTGGAGGTCAAAAAAATAAATATTACATCCACACCCAACTTGATCTCCATGCCTTACAAGCTTGTTAATGTAAGCACATCTAATCCTATGTATACCAAAATGTATAACTATCTAAAATGTTTCAGATGAGGGGCACCTGACTGGCTTAGTCAGTGAGCATGTGACTTTTGATCTTGGGGTCGTGAGTTCAAGCCACACATTGGTTGTAGAGCTTACTTAAAATAAATTAATTAATTAAATAAAATGGTACAGCTGAAGATAGAAATTACTACATTGCTATCTATTTAAAGTAGTTAACATTGATTTCAGCTGTGTAACCATGTTCCTTGAAATCAAAGATTTCATGTGAAATTGACAATAAAGAATTTGTAAGGGACCCAGTTTTTCTCTCTGGTTCTTCTTGGTGGAAGAAACCAAAGATACTACCTCCATGTACCTTCATGGTGACTTTTCAAAACTGAGAGATTCTTTTGTTTTGTAATTTTTTTTTTTTTTAAGAAAAAGATGTTTGTACTTCTCCCCTGGTTTCATATCTATCTTAAAATTTTTATTCCTATTCTTTAGAAACTAAATTCTAAAAAATTTGCTCCCTCATGGTGCTGGCTCTTAGGTTTATGCATTTCATTTCATATTTTCCTTCTCAAATTTCACAAGGGTCAGGGATCACATTTATTGGTATTTCCTGAGGTTTGCTTTCATACCTCTTCTCTATTTACTTTACTCTTCAGCAGGGGCTGAAGCAGGCAAACTCAAACATCGCACCACAGAGTAAAATGTCATCTCAGGAGTAATAGCTCGTTCTCTGGTATACCCTCAAGCAAGAAGATCCTTCTTTAAGAATTGTCAATAGGATAGAAAGCTGGGAGCTTTGTGTGTCTAGGATGGCAAAGATCTCTCCGTATTCTTGTCCTGAACACAAAGCTTTCCTGAGCCTTAAAAAGGAGGAGAATGCTTAAGATTATCCCAGTTAACTTACTTAGATGCAGTGTTTGATGGAGTCCACAGAAATATGAATTATATGAAAAGCTACAGAGTTCAGGAAGTTGCATCTATGTAATGGGAGATAACACAAAGTACATATGCTAGGGAGACCGGGATATTTGTCTGGTTTCTGTACAAAGATAAACCCATTTGTTCAGTAATGATGTCACCTGCTCTTCTAGCTCCTGCTCTCCATGTGACGCATCTTGTTGGACTTAAATGTGACCAGATCAGCTTACCCCATGAGCAATAGCCTCAACCCCTAATCTTCAACTTCATCAAACAGCAGCTTGGATTTCATGACCAGATGTCATAACTGTGTAGCCCAATCCTTCCCTGCAAGTTTGTAGTTCGAGTTGTAGTGCTGAAGTCATGTATTATTTGTGACGTTTTTATGTAGTTCTTATCCATGTGCTATAATCATTACAGAGTGGTTTTATAAAACCCCTTTCTCTTGAAAGATGAATTTATTGTAAAGGAATTTAATGCTTAATATTAAATTAAATTAAAATTTCATCTTAGAATAACTAAGTTAGTCTAATAATTAAAAATTTAAAACTCCTGGATTGTAACATTTGGAGTTTCATATGTAGCATTAATTAAGCTCACATCAAAATTGATTAGCCACTTGTAGATACAGTTTCCAGACACTATGTTCCTGAAACCAGTCCAGAAATGTTGGAACATTGTCAGGCACTTACTAGGTGTTGGACAAGTGACAGAAATTGATGACGCACATTTAGAATAGCTACACAAAAAAAGCGTTTGTGTGATGTAGGTCTATATGAGAAAGTCACCCTTCAGGAAATTTGACCACTCTTCTTTTCTACCCCCTGTGTGATTTCAGTGCAACATGAACTAGGATTAGAGGCTTATGTTTGCCTAAATTTCTGATTTTATCATGGAGTATAACAATTCTAGGCCATACATTTATATTCAGATGAAAACCCTAGGTAAAGCAAAGAATAATCCTAATTTTTTTCAGAACTCATAAATGACTAAATTGCCTTCTAGCAGTTTTCTTGTCTTTTGAGGAAATGTTTCAAGGAAGCCATATTTTTAAATCTCATTTCAGTATTAACCAAATAGGGTGAGCAATTAATAACAACTGAGTTTAGACTTGAGTTCAGGATGAGAAGGTCGTGCTTTCGTGTGACTGTGCTTCATGGGAGCTGCTGCCCCCTGGAGGGGTTTCTGAAGCCTGAGCAGTTGGGAAGTGTGGATGGGGGATGGGTGGAGGATGGCTGACCCACTTGTATAGTGTGTAATGTTGTGGACAGATATTTATATGGTCATGACTCAAATAAAGCTTAACACCAACCATAATAAAAATTATCTGCCACGTGAGTGACAGAGTGGAGGCACAGGGCGGGGTTCCTGTTGGTGGTCAACATGGTCTGGGCTGCTGGAGTCTGCAGGAGCCTGCTCCTGCTCAGAAAAGGATTTTCTCTTTTAGTCGGTGACAATAACCTTCCTGAGAGGTGCATCAGTTTGAGGACTTCTTTTGGCAATAGATATGTTTGGAGTGCGATTTCTAGGGTGCCCCAATAATCGATCATCAGGTAGAAAGCTCAGAGCTGAGAGTAACGTAGAATAACACTGCAGCCACTAGTGAGGTTTTCCCGTTGCTTCGTATCTTTGTAGACCACGTGGAATATTTCATAGTGCAATCCATTAGCCTTCAGGTTGAATTTTTACCTGTCAGGTCCTGGAAAATCTCCTTTATTTTCCTTTTTATTGGGAGAAGAGGAAGTTATGAAAGAGAGAGAAGAATTAATCATCATCTCAGCTCCTGACTAGGAGTGTGCATGTGTGTGTGTGTGTGTGTGTGTGTGTCTGCCTACATAAGTATATAAGTTTGTGTATGTATGTGTTTTCCCCACTAGTTATTTCCCATCTCAGGAAATGGTATCAGCAGAACAAGCCAGGGACCTGGGTGACCTCTTCAATGATTCTGTTCCCTCCCAGTCAATTGCCCAATCCTATTAATTGATTCTCCTAAATATTTCTCCAATATGTCCACCACCTTCCTGGTCCTCAACCCAGAGTCCTCCCAGCCAGCCTTGCCCACAGCTTCCCACAGTGCCTCTACAGCCTCCTCAAAGTACTCACCACAGCTTGCAATTATGTTGTGATTTGGGTCATTATTTAATGAATGTCTACTGCCTAGACTATAAGGTTTGCAAGGGCAAAGTCTGTACCTGTTTTATTTACTGATAAAAACGAAGAACCTAAAACAGTGCCTGTCACATACTAAGTGCTCAATAAATATTTGTTAAACGAAGAATGAATCCTCTTGTTAGCATTTCCTGTATAAACTCTCACAAAATGCCCAAAATCTTTGCAAGACTCATCCTTCCTTTAGTCAGTCCCTTGTCAGCATGGCTCCCCCGACTGTCCTTCCCATCTCACTTTTTGGATGAGGAAAGGCCTCTGTACATTAGTGTAGAGTTGTGGCAATGTCTAGAACCTGGATTTCTCCTATAGCATATGGCTTTCCCTGCTTCACAACCAAACCCAGATTACCCACCTTCAGGAAGGTCTCTAAGATTAGATCCCCCTCACCCCATCATGACTTCCCTTCTTGTTCCTTTTGAACTAGGTTTACCCTAGGAGATACCAAATTGTTCTCAGTCCGATATTGTGTTGAGAACATTCATCCTTTTTCATGAACTTGGCTTATGACCGCCCAGCTTGTCCTCATTTGAAAGGCCTGTGTCTCCCTTCTACCCTTAGACTGCCATGGAGTAGCCCCCTGTAGGTATTTTCTGTCTGCTCACCTGTGCCTGCCCTATGTCTGGGCACTGGCTTTTCACTTCACCGCTAATTTCATCTTCTCCACTCACTCATTTCATCTTGCCTTCCTTGAACACTCTTCAAGAAACAGGCTTGCAAAAACTCTCTTCTGGTTATTCTATGTATAGGGGTTTCTGTGCATTTTTTGATATGTTTGTTCCTTTGTTCATTCATTATTAATACATATCCCTCCTTCTTCCCTAAAATAATTAGAAACAGTTTATAAGAATAATAAAAGCACATCCAGATAGTATAAATTAGAATAAATGAAGAAGGAAAGGGAAACATGAAGGGAAGGGGCTTCACTGGCACAGAGCCTGGAGCTGATACTGAGATGCATAGACGCGTTCCATACAGTCTAGTCATTGGCAGATGGCAGGCCATAAATTGGCTTTGGGCTAGCTAGCATTGCTTCATAAAGGGAAAATTTTACAATGTCTCTAAGATAAAATGTGAACTAATAATTAGGAGAAGAACAACTAGTGCTGATTCTAAGAGGTCACAGTGTAGTGCAGTGAGAAGCATGGGCCCTGGAGCAGATGGCCGGGGTGTGGGAGGTGGGGTGGGTGGTGGTCAACGCATCTACTCCAAGTGGTTCTCAACACTAGTACACATTACGATCACCAGGGAAGCCTTTAAAAATCACCATTTGGAGACCTTCCTCAGGCCAACTAAATAAGAATCTCTGGGAATGGGACAAAGAAGCCCTATTTTAAAAATTTCCCCTGATGATTTGCTGCCAGGGTCAAGAGCCAATGATTTAGAAGAATGGGTAGCCTGTGAATAGGGCAGGGTATTCCTCTAAGTGGACTTCTACAAGTCTTTTTTTTTTTTTTTTAAGATTTTATTTAGTTATTTGACAGAGATCACAAGCAGGCAGAGAGGCAGGCAGAGAGAGAAGGGGAAGCAGGCTCCCCGCCGAGCAGAGAGCCCGATGCAGGCCTCGATCCCAGGACCCCGAGACCATGACCTGAGCTGAAGGCAAAGGCCCAACCCACTGAGCCACCCAGGCGCCCCAACTTCTACAAGTCTTTAGATGGTGTGTCCCCTGGAGTAGTTAAATAAAGATCAAGCTCTTTCACTTGACTCTTATTCCTCAATGTGTGTGTATATACACACACATATACATTTAACTGAAATATAATTGACAAATAAAATTGTATATATTTAAAGTGTACAATGTGATAATTTGATATACATATATATCGTGAAATGATTACCACAATCAAGTGAACTGACACCACCCACTACCTCACATAGTTACGTTTTTTACAATAGTCAAGATAGGGAAAAGACACTAAGTGTTGATCAATGAGTGAATAAAGAGAATGTGGCATATGCACACAATAGACTATTATTCAGTCATAAAAAGGAGGAAATCCTGCCATTTGTGACAGCAGGGATGAAACAGAAGGGCATTATGCTAAGTAAAATAAACCAAAGAAAGACCAATACTGCATAGTAATACTTACATGTGAAATAGTTAAACAGAAAAAAAAAAAGTCAAACTCCTAGACACAGAATAGAATGGCAATTACTAGGAGGTAAATGGGGGTCAGGGAACTGGGGAGTTGCTGGTGAAATTGGTTAAAGGTTACAAGCTTTTAGTTACAAGAGGAATACATTCTGGGGATCACAGCATGGTGATTATATTCAATGCTATATTGTATACTTAAGGTTTACTCTTCTGGTAAATTTTAAGTGTCCTTACCGCAGAATAAATCTTTTTTAAAAAGGAATTTTTTATCCCCTCCAAAAGGTATATGTTGAACTTCTGATCCCAGTGTGGCTATATCTGGAGATGGGACCTGTAAGAAATTATTAAGGTAAAGGAGATCATGGGGTAAGGCCCTGACTGGATAGGATTAGGGTACTTATAAGAAGGGACACCAAAGAGCTCACTCATTCTCTCTGTGTACACACTCATGGAGAAAGGGCCATGTGAGGACACATGAGAAGGTGGCCATCTTCTCACCAGATATGAAATAGGGTAGAATTTTGATCTGGGACCTCTAGCCTCCAGAATTGGGAGAAAGAAATTTTCTGTTGCTTAAGCCACTTAATATTTTGTCAGCTTGAGCTGATTAAGACATATATTTTGTATGTATATAATCATATATATATGAATTATATATGTATGTATATACGTAATGAATTTACATGTATAACTCATTCACTCTTACAATGTACCAAGCACAGTGCTAGTGTGTGTGTGTGTGTGTGTGTGTGTAGTATATAATGATATACATACAAAAATAAACAAAACCAACAAAGCCACCGTAAATAGGATAGATAGACAGATAAAAGTAAATATATAGCTAACTGCCTGTCAACTTAATTTTGCCCAAATGATAGTCTTAACCAACCTTTCAGAGTAATATGTATATATTATTCAGTGTAATTTGCTGTGTGAACTCATGAACAATCATGACCAGCTCTTTAGTCCCACGTTTCACTTCTAAGCACCAACAAACTAAGTTAACTGACACACTTAACAGCTGCTTAGTCAAACTGAATCTTTGGTCCAAAATACACTAAAAAACTTCTCCTGGCTTATTTGTATCTAGTGATAGAATATTATTTAGTGCTTTGTACCTTGTAGATCCTTAACAAGGGCTATAAACCATCAAGCTCAGGAATATAACAAAGTCAGTTTGAATTTTATTTCCATCACTTAAAAATATCGCTCTTAACATTTGGGACCCATTTTGTAGACTGTTGATAAAATCTATGGGCCCCCTCTGCAGGAAGAGACACAGTCACACATATATCCCCAAATCTGCATAAAACTTCATGGGTCCAGACAACCGCCTCAAGCTGTGCATGGCAGGATAACTTGTGTCCCCTACCTACCAATGTCCAGACCTCCTATCGGTGGGTCTTGCCATATTGCTGTCCTCTCCAGGTTCTGGTAATTTCTCTCCCTACCCCCTCAGATCAGGGCTGGTAACAGCTGTTCCCAGCTGCACCATCCTTTTTGTTTGCTCTGTCCTGACCCCTCCCCCTTTGTAAACAGTCCTTTCAGTAACTCTCTCAGTACCTCGGTTTAATTGTACCATCCGAATCCTGCTGCGACCTGGCAATACAGCCTCCAAATTACATCTGGGGACCCAAAACCGTTTTGAAAAGCACTGACTTAAGAAACTCCATTCCATATGAAGATCTTTCGATTACAATTTCTTTTTATTGCAAAACAGAAGTTAGTATTTTTCTTTTAACTGGTAGAATACTTTCAAAAAGATAATCTAATACAAGAATGTTTATTTTTACACATAAAAGTTCTCATAGAATTCTCCAGGGCTTGAAGCTTGAGAAACATGGTGCTTGACTTATTTTCCTAGAGGGCTGCTGGGCATCACGTGTTTAAAAGAATTGAAAGCTTGAGTAAAAGACAGATAAATGGCCTCTGTTGCTTGCCTCCAAGCTGCATATCCCGTCATCCTGTCATGGAAGGAAATTAAAATTGTCTGACACATACTGAGTTTCATAAAGCCACACTCTTCCTCTACAGGATCCTGGGCGCCTGGAGAAGTCAGTACCACAAGTAGATTTTTTGAGGATTTGATCTATAATCTTCATTTCGGAATTAAAGTTAAGTAAATTAATATTTAGTTATTGGGGTCTCTCTTTGTCCCTTTTTTTTTTTTTTAAAGATTTTATTTATTTATTTGACAGACAGATCACAAGCAGGCAGAGAGGCAGGCAGAGAGAGAAGAGGAAGCAGGCTCCCCGCCGAGCAGAGAGCCCAATGCTGGGCTTGATCCCAGGACCCTGGGATCATGACCTGAGCCGGAGGCAGAGGCTTAACCAACTGAGCCACCCAGGCGCCCCTCTCTTTGTCCCTTTTAAAAAATAAGTGAACTCCATAATTTTTCTTTCCTCAGTCCTTCAGGACTTCTCTCTTCAAAGAATCCTAAAACAATAGCCAGTGGCTCTGCCATCCAGTGTCTCCTAAGCTGAATAACTGAAAGACGTAATTTGCAACCTGCTTCATTAGTAACTCCTTAACTGTTTCCCCATTTCTAATTTGCTTTTTTACTCCCCCCAAATAGGTATCACTCAATTCAAAATCAGTATTTATAATTTGTTTTTCTAAACACTGAGCATGACAATTTTCACTAGAGAACAAAAGCCCACCATTAAACCACTTTTTTCCCCTGAAACTTTAAACTTGATTTAAATATTATAAATATTAAGTAATTTAAAAATCATCAAGCAAAGAACCTAGAACCAATATTATATTTTATAGATGATTAGTCAAGAATTAGCTACGAAAGGCAGTAATTTAAGATTGTGTTTATTTTTTCTAAATTTCTAAAATTTCTTAGAAAAGCTGTTTCTTTCTACAGTAGCTTAATCATTATCATCATGAAACACTGGACATTTGGGGCCGCCTGGGTGGCTTAGTGGTTTAAAGCCTCTGCCTTCGGCTCAGGTCATGATCTCAGGGTTCTGGGATCGAGCCCCGCATCGGGCTCTCTGCTTGGCGGGGAGCCTACTTCCCTTCCTCTCTCTCTGCCTGCTTCTCTGCCTGCTTGTGATCTCTGTCTGTCAAATAAATAAATAAAATAAAATAAAATAAAATAAAATAAAATAAAATAAAGAAACACTGGACATTTGGAGTTACAGAAATCATCGGAGTAAAGTGATTTTGCTCCATGTCCTATTAGAATAAGAAGAATGAATTATTTAAGATCTAGGTTCTTCTTTTCATTTACATATCACATTATTTTTCATCTGAGTTTAAGGTCCTTTGCATTTACATGTCTTCACAACATTGCAACAAACAAAAACTAAGAGGCAAACAAAATGTTATCAATGTTCTACTTATTCTGGGTAAATACTCAGCAATGGAAACCAGTCCACTACTCAGATATATTTCCCATACTTCATTGTCCTGCCTTCCTCTTTCTTCCACAGGGACTCAAAAGACATCACCCGTTATACAGCTGGTTCAATGATTGATTTTAGATTGCAATACCACAGATCTGCACTAAGTCAACAAGCAAATGGTAGAAGAAAGGTATTTATAAAGAACCTACTTCATGTAAGTCATAGTAATAGGTGTTGTGGGAAAGCAAGACACAGTAACTTCCTTAAACAATGTGTAGCTTGTTAAGTTTGAGGCACTAAGACAAATGTGTTATAATTTAAAAGATAATCTGATAGATTCCATAAGAGAGGTAGAAATAAAAACTTTTGGGGGAGTCCACAGAGAGAACGATCATATGAAGCTAGGATTTGAAAGCATTTCTTAGACAGGGTGGATATTTGAGACAAGCTTTATTTAAGGGCTGTAATTTTGAAAGACACTTGGGGGAAGGCATTTTCATTGAAAACAAAAGCATGAAATAAGACAAAGAAGGAAAATAGGACATCACTATTCTAGTCATGTCCTGTTTGGCTGAATCGGGAAAGGTAAAATGGGGTTCTATTATGTGGGACCCTATAAGTCAGGTTAAGGAGATGGGGCCTTGAGCCTAGGCAAAGGGAAGTGGCTGAAAGGCATAGAGCAGAACCAATGAGGAGTCTGTTGGAGGTGAGTGGGAGGAGGGGAAGTAAGGTAGAGACAAGTACCAGTAACAAGAAACTTTGTCCAGGTGTGGATGACCAAGACTTGACCGCAACCTTCCACAATATCCCAAGGTTGCGGGGAGGGCAGAGATGGATTAAAGACAAGCTGTGGCCGCCAAAGACATCATTTTCTTGTTAGACTAGTCAGCTCCCCTACTTGTGAAGGTCAGTACCCTCAGATTTTCACCTAATAAGTTAAGCAGCTTACATATTTCAGAATAAAAATTCCCTTTCATGTGAAGATGATGTGTTTCCCAAGTCTTTCTTTTGCTAAAAGGCAAAGGAGAGTTCGAGCAAAAGTGTATAAAATTCAATATATTAAAAAAAGGGTCAGTGAAATTCTGACATATAGGATAACATGGATAAACCTTGAAAACGTCATGCTAAGTGGAATAAGACAGACACAAAAAGACAAATATTGCATAATTCTTCTTATCTGAGGTACCTAGAGTAGTCGAATTAATAGAGAAAGAAAGTAGATGAGTTGCTACCAGGAGCTGAGGGAAAGAAGACAAGGGGGTTATTGTTTAATAGGTACAGTTTCCATTTGGGATGATGATAAAGTTCTGGAGATGGACGGTGGTGATGGCTGCACAATAATGTGAATGTATGTAATGCCACCAAATTAGATCCTCAAGAAAGGTTACAATGGTAAATGTTATGGCATGCATATTTTCTACAGTTTTTTAAAAGCAAGGGCTTAGTGAGGTCTATATTGTGGTTTTTATGATGCCAAATTCTAATTTACTAGGTTTTAGGGAGAAAATTCACACTATGTGACCTGATAGGATCATGCCTACAGACTGTCCTTTCTACACAGGCCTCTGTTCTGTAGAAGGAGTTGTGGTCTCTAAGAGGTTACATAGGGAGTTAGGAGTCAGAGCAAAGAAGATGCGCATAGTAATGGCTACAGTAGAAAGATTGTTTGGCCTAATGTTCCTGTCTTCAATGTAGGAATATATCTGCCAAGGAGGTCTGAATCTTTGCATTAGCCTGTCTGGGTACTCTTCCTCAAGACAGTGTAGCCAACCAAGGCTATTTTTCAAAGCACAGTTCATCATAGTCACGAATGCAGTGAAAAATATGACAAACACATCAATAGCTATCATAAAGAATGATTAAATCTAAAATACTCACTAGAGAGAAGAGGAGTGATACCTGGCAATATTTCTACAGGATCAAAGTCTGATTTTAAAGTGAAAATTTCCTGCATCAACCCAATATGCATGGCTCTTGGTATAAATGCCTTGGTGTCTCAATGAAAGGAGAAGACCAATTAATAGGGCTATTTATCTTTGCGGGTTGACATAGCGCATATGGGACTCTGTAGGATCGAAATAAGCTACCAAAGAAGGAAAGAAACTGATGTGAAGTGGGAGAATCTGATAAGAAAAAAATGAAAGGAAATACTGAGAGGTCAGGAAGACTAGCAAGAAGGAAGGCAGTTGTAAAATCATGTTATGTGAAGGAAGAAGTCTACTGGGGTTCTGTAAGATGGAGAGCTAACATATCTCCAAAGCACTGGAAACATCTATAAAAGCTGTATGAAACAGTTTTGGAAGGGAATTAAAATATGCCTAAAAAAGAAAATTTGAAGTCAGAGTGGTGACCTGAATGGATACCTGATAACCTGGAGGCTTGGGCTTAAAGCTCATTTAAACATGAGGTCTCATTTTGGGGGAGGCAAGGTGTTGGATCTAAGACCTCAAAAACCTAAGACCCTCAAATCCAATAATATGTATTCCCCTAAGAAATCCAAACTCCATGCTTGATACTCATTCAGACTTGGAATGAGCCCTTGCTTTTAAAAAACTAGAAAATATGCATGCCATAACATTTACCATTGTAACCTTTCTTGAGGATCTAATTTGGTGGCATTACATACATTCACATTATTGTGCAGCCATCACCACTGTCCATCTCCAGAACTTTATCATCATCCCAAACGGAAACTGTACCTATTAAACAATAACCCCCTTGTCTTCTTTCCCTCAGCTCCTGGTAACAGCTCATCTACTTTCTTTCTCTATTAATTCGACTACTCTAGGTACCTCAGATAAGAAGAATTATGCAATATTTGTCTTTTTGTGTCTGTCTTATTCCACTTAGCATGACGTTTTCAAGGTTTATCCATGTTATCCTATTTGGTTAGGAAACAGAGATACCCCTTGGCACGAGTAAATGCAAAACCCGCACTGGGGAACAGAGACACGCCTATGTGGCAAGGGTGTGACAAGCTCACTGCAGATGAGCCCATGATAAGAAGTCAAAGAATAAGCAAGTAACAATTTTTGTGTGAGGTATAGGCAATGGACACAAGATACAAAAAGATTAGACCCGATAACGGGAGTTACCAGAATGGAACTTAGAAAGTGACTACTAAAGAAAAGATCTTTAAAATTATTAAAACTGTAACAGGAGTAATTAAAACACAGGAATGAGAAATGCAAAAAGGCAAGCTACTGTGAATAATGTTGGTGCTGCTGATGATAATAGTACAGTACTGGCCACCTGCTAGGCCCTTTTCTAAATGCTTTGCAAATATTAACTCATTTTGCAAATATTTTGCAAATATTAACTCATTTGGGGGCACCTGGCTTGTTTAGTCGGTTAAGCGGCTGTCTTCAGCTCAGGTCATGATCCCAGAGTCCAGGGATTGAGCCCTGCTTTAGGCTCCCTACTCAATGGGGAGCCTGCTTCTCTCCTCCCGGTTCTTGAGCTCTCACTTGCACACTGTCTCTCTCTCTCTCCCTCTCAAATAAATAAATAAAATATTTTTTTAAAAAAATAGTAGCTCATTTAATCCTCACAGCAACATTGTATTATGAGGTATTAGTATTTTCCCATTTTAAAGAAGAGAAAACTGGGACAAAAAAGGCTAAATAACTTCCTCTAGGTCACAAAAAAAAGTGGCAGAGTTGAAATTTGTACAAGGACATTATTTATACAAATGTCTTAGTCCATTTAGGCTGCTATAACAAAATAGCATAGACTGGGGGGTTTATAAACAACAGAAATTGGTTCTTCCAGTTCAGTTCAGGAGGCTGGGAAGACCAAGATCTAGGTGCTGACAGATTCAGTGTCTGGTGAGGCTGGTTTTCCGGTTCATGGACTGCAATCTTCTTAGTGCAACCTCCCATGGTGGGAGGGGCAAGGGAACTACCTGGAGCCTCTTTTACAAGGGTACTTATTGCATTCCTGTGGGCTCTACCTCCATGACCTCATCACCTCCCCGAAGCCCCTTGTGCTAATACCAACACTGGGGGGTAGGATTTTAATGCAGGATTTTGCAGGGAGTGGGGGTGGTAATGGTACACTTTCAATCCATTTACCAGAATATAGGGTCTTAATCACTACACCAGACCAAAGAGCAAAGTTTATTTTCAAATGAAATGCCAAATTTCAAAGCCCTTCAAGATTTAAAAATTACAAAAATGAAAAAAACTTGTAATTTTGACAGAAACTCAGTAAATGAATTAAATAGCAAATTAAGCACAACTGAAGAAAGAATAAGTGTAAAATAGAACTGAAAAAAATCTGAAAATATAGCCCAGAAAGAAAAAGAGATGGGAAATATAAAAGCAAGAATAAGAAATATAGAAAATAAAATGAAAAGATCCAACATATTTCTAACAGAAGCAGGAAGAGAACAGGAAGAACAATAAAGAGGCAATATTTAAAAACGTAGTGGCAGAAATTTCCAGAATTGGTAAAAGACATAAGTATTAAAGAAGTACAGTATAAGTAAAGTTAAATCACACATGGAAATTTTGTAGTGAAACTAAGAAAATTAAGAGAAAAAGGAGCAAAAAAGAGAAAAATTAAGCAAAAAATGAGCCAGATTCACTATAAATAAACAATTAGATTAATAGCACATATCTCAAGAGCAGCCATAAATTCTAAAAGAGTCTAGATTATCTAGAAGATAATATCTCCAGAGTCCTGAGGAAAAATATCATAAATGTGGAGTTTTATACCCAGATAGGATATTATTCAGGCACAAGGACAAAGTAAAAATCCTACACGTAGATTCCTGCTGAAAGAACAGCTAATTGAAGAATCTAGTTCGGGGGGGGAAAAAACTCAGAAGAATGTATAGAATCTAAGAAGTAATGGTAAGCAAAGACACTGGTGAACATGACTGAGAAATCAATCTGGGCGATTAAAAAACAGTACCAGGTCACATTAAAAATAAAGAAAACTAAAGTGTGATCAGTTCAATCTGTTCACCATGAGGAAGATTACAAAGTGACTCCTTCAAGAGAGTCAGACTATTGAAATGAGTGTCTTCTCTGTAAAAGGATGAGTTGAGGGAATATCTAACTGTTCGCAAAGGGTACAAGTAAGGAAACTTCGTGACCCTGCTCTAGATGGGAGTTACTCTGAAACTGGCAGCATCGCGTAAATTCAGTGCTGCTCTTATGCCCACCACACAAGCAGCCCACTGGCTCCAAGGTCCATTTCCACAGGCACTTTATCTCCATCAGCTAGCTGTATTCCAAGGGAGGTGGTGCCAGCATTTTCTCTCCATTGTTTCTGTGCATTTTTTCATTCACTGTGGAAGACTAAGTAGTCTCAAGGGAATAATTTCATCCCTTGGGGCCTGACAGAGTGGGAGCCTGGCTGCAGGCAGAAGAGACACTTGGGTTCTCCCCTGGATGCAGGCCACTATGACATCATGGCACTACGACATCCTGGCAAGCCACACCAAGGAGAATGGGACAGACTCCTGTGGAAGAGTTGGCCTGGGATCACATCTCAAATATGAGTCCTTTACTTCTCTGGTCATAATCCCCTTTAAGTCTTTAAGCCTTCAATAAATCTTGTGAATTGCCACAGGCTCATCATAGCTTTTAGTGTGTGGAATTAAGGAAATTCCCTGTTTTCATGTTTGGAGCCAAGCTTAGAGAGAGAACAACTGTCTATTGTGAGGCCAAATATGAGATAGCAGAAGATGGTCTTCAGAGCCTAGCACTGTGGTTGGAGTCACAGGACTGGCTAAGATGACAAGCTGCACCCAGGACAAGTTTGTATGATATGTAGGCATTTCCAGAAATGTGGAGAGGAGTAGCAAGTAAAAACAAAAGCTGATGGTTATGGCAAAACTAATGATTATATAAAAAGGAAGTGAAACTTCACTGTCACTAGTTGGGAAGTCATTTGGTGATTGAATAGAAAGTTCTATAGAATAGACCTTGGAAACAATGGCTCAAATTAGTAGTCCTCCTAGAGGATTCACATTTTCATAAATGCTTCACTACTGGAAGGAATTTGGGCTCTCTGTGTGGGCTATCTCCCAGAGGGGTGGTCAGACTTCTCCATGAACACAAAAGCAGAAGCTGCCAGGCCTTTCCTAACCCTCAGGTCCAGAGCTGGCACAGCCTCACTTCTGCCCACAATACTGGGTAAAGAAGTCACAAGGTCATCCAGATGCAGTGTGGAGGGAAGGGACTACAGAAGGGCAGAGCTACTAGGAGGCATAGTTCACTGGGTATGGTCTAAAGGAATTTTGTAAAAGGGAAAGGAATGAATGAATTCAGAATTCTTTTTTCTCCATCATTTGATAAGGATCAGACTACACTCTCCCCCACTTTCACATCACCTCACACCTGATTTATTCTAAGTAATTGTAAAGGGCTCCCCCAAGTCCCAGTCTTCTCCCCACTTTCACCCAACTTGTACCAACTCTCATGTTAGCCTTCCAGGAACACTGTCTTTCTTTCTATGCCCAGGAAAGCTTGACTATGTAGTACTGTCTACATGATAAAGTTTGAACACCTTAGGCTTTTACTCAAGGGTCCACGTGCTTGTGCCTGAGAAGAGGGGTTAGGTTGGAGAATGACAGAAGTGAAACTCGAATGCCAGGAACTACTATCTTCCAGCTTTATCAAGCCTAACAGGTGCACAAACAGCACAAAGGAAACATCTGAATGATGCATCCCTTTTTTTTCATCATAGGAACAGACCATAGAGGTAACAATGGTCAGCAGCTTGCAGGGATGGAAAAAACCTGCCAGATATGAACAAAAGGGCACCCAGAAATTCATTCTTTCCTACTGGAAGGATCCCATTATCACCCAGAAGAAAACTTCTGCTACCTTGTAAAGCCACTCAGCAAGCCATGTCACTTAAGACAATCATCTATGCCCAATGTTTGAGCTCTGGGTCCCAATAATCTTGCTGCTTAATATTCTACTATCTTTTTTCCTGTGTCTGCACGGTAACTTATGCAGCTGCCCCTATATATACCTGTGTAGGAGATTAGGGGATTTCCCATTTCTCCAGGAGGGCAGTTTGGGTTATGGTGAACCACAGAGGTCCTCTGCAATGCTATCCCAATTTCACGTTTTAACTTCAGACTTACCTTTGTGCCACACAGTGTTTACCATAATCCTTTACCCCTTGATGCAAACCTTTGCACCCATTCATATTGGTCTATCCTCTCAGTTTCCTCACTGCCTAGTCCTTTCTCATCACTCTGCATAAGATAGGAAGAAATGGAGAAGACACAAGCTGTTCTGATGCCCCAAGAAGCTGAGGAGTTGCAACACAAGCCATGAGGGTAGCAAGAAGGACAAGAATGCCTTGTTATGTAGTCCTCTCATACCTACCGCCTTTTACTTGTATTTTTTCTTAAATACATGAAATGTTCTATCTCCACAGCCATACGCTGAGCATGCTTTGGGAAAAGGACAGATGCATTTATTTTTTTTAAAGATTTATTTATTTATCTTAGAAGGGTAGGGGCAGCAGGAGAGGGCAGTGAAAGAATCTTAAGTAGACTCCACGCTGAACGTGGAGACTGACATGTGCCCAACCCTCCAACCCTGAGGTCATGACCCTGAGCTGAAATCAAGAGCCAGATGCTTAACTAACTAAGCCACCCAGGCACCCTAAGAAGGGATTTATTTTAAACAGTGTCTTTCTACTCTATATATTTATACTTATTCAGAGCAGCAATAGATAATTGTTAGTTGGTTATCCCATAAAATGACAAAACTCTTACAGTTCACCTGTCCATCCATCAGTCCATTTTGTCACTGACTCAATCATCATTTACTGACTCCTCTCCACCACAAACCTCTGCTGGGCAGTCCCATCACTGGGCAGTGTACGCGGGTTCTGGTATTATTAGATTGCTCAGCATCTGATACATGGCACCAAATAAAATACTCAGCTTTAAAATTATAAAAATAAAGGGGTAAAGTTATGAAAATAATACAAGCTCATGGCAAACATGAACACAGCATAGAAGGATATAAAGGGAAAAGTAAGACTTCCTGGTTGCCACTCTACACAAACTTCCCATTCCAGCTGTCCAAAAGTAATGGTTGAAGGTTTCTTATTTATCTTTCTGAAATTAGTATTTTTTTTACAAAAATAATATCATTCTATATGTGTTTTTCTCTTGTTGCTCCCACCTCTCATCTATACAATATATCTTGGTTTTCTTTTCATATAAGGCCATGTAACTCTCCTTGTTCTTTTTTTAAGGGGGGGGGAACAGTTTTATTGAGGAGGGGCGCCTGGGTGGCTCAATTGGTTAAGTATCTGACATTGGCTCAGGTCATGATCTCAGGGTTCTGGGACCAAGCCCCTCCTTGGGATCCCTGCTCAGCATGGAATCTGCTTGTCCCTCTCCTTCTGCCCCTCCTCCCCACTCAGGCTCTCCTTCTCTCTCTCTCTCTCTCTCAAATAAATAAAAAAGATCTTAAAAAAAAAAAAAAAGGCAGTTTTATCAAGGGGCACCTGGGTGGCTCAGTCAGTTAAGCATCCGACTCTTGATTTCAGCTCAGGTCATGATCTCAGGATCATGCAACCAAGCCTGTACTAGGCGAGAAGCCTGCTCAAGATTTTCTCTCTCCATCTCCCCTCTTTTCTCCCGCTTGTGTACTCTCTCTCTCTCAAAACAACAAAAAAAAGTTTTATTGAGATATAATTCACATACCACGCAATCACTTATTTAAAGTATACCCAGGGATGCCTGGGTAACTCATTCAGTTAAGCATTGGACTCTTGGTCTCAGCTCAGGTCATGATCTTGGGGTCCTGGGATGGAATCCCAATCTGAGCCCATGTGGGCTCTGGGCTCATCAGTGAGTCTGCTTGAGGATTCTCTCTCTCCCTCTGCCCCTCCCCCCACTCACATGCACTCTCTCTAAAATAAATAAATCTTTTTAAAAAATAGTGTATCATTCAATGGTTTTCAGATTATTCAGAGCTGTGCTGCCACCACCACAGTCTTCATTCATTATTTTTAATGGTTGCAGAGATTTTGTTTTATCTTATGCCATGAGATCAGTAAATACTTGTTGAATTGGTTTAAACTATAGATTTGGATTGAGAAAGTGGAGAAAAAAAAGAAAGTTGTCTAGAAACATAAAAACAAAAAAGCTCCAAGGCTTCTGCTGGTCCTTTAAACCAGTTTTAAGCAACTATGTTATACTGATATAATATGGATGAAAAAATATTCTTTTCATTTTATCTAGATCTTTTCTTTCCAGATAGCAAAGTTCTAATCCACATGGACACAAATTCATGTTGCATTGTGCTGGATTTCCTTTAGCAAGTCAATTATTTTTGCTTTCAAGGAACGCTTTATTTCATTTGGGTAAGTTTAAAAATAAATACTACTTTTAATAATCTTTCCAAATCTAGTTAGTTTGTAATATTTCAACAGTAACAGGACAATTTTTGCAGCATTTGTTTTAAATATACTGTGAAGGTAAGCATTTCAGATTAATACAATATTTATAAAATGTCTAAAGCAATGTAAGCAAATTGTTTTTGAAATTATTTATAAATATTAGGAACTTTAAGCATATGTGGTGCTAAGTAATACTGACATGTCTGGGAAAATGTGCAAAACAGAGGGAGATAATGCAACTATTCTTTCCTCACACTTATATTCCCACATACAAAATAATACATTCTCCGAGGGGAAAAAAGGCACTTGGTAAATTAGTAAGTCCTACAGTGACATTAAAACATGTACTTAAATACTAACCTGAATCAGGCTAAGCAGTGGAAAATGTGGACTCAAATGCTATTGAAGATAGGAAAGGAAACACGGGCACTCGTTTGTAAAAAGAGGAAATGCTATGGTTGGAAAACATCTTTCTGGAGATTTTAAAAATATGACAAGAACAGGACAGATTTGATGCCACATTCCTCTCTCAGGATCGAGACTTGATCCCACGAGGGCATATTACTTGTGGGTTCTATTATTATAATCCAGTCCCACGCTGAGCCTCGAAGTACAATATTCACTCTTCCTCAATGCTTAGTGTCTAAGTTCCTGAGAACTTTCCCCCTCAGGATGGCTCTGGTTCTCAGCAGTAATCTAGCAAGTGCTCTTCGTCAAATGCATCAGGAAGGATGTACCATTTTCCCAAAACAAATTGATCAGACGTCAGAAACAGAATTCTCAGATCTTTTTCTCTCCTTAGGTCAAACTCCATCATTCCTGGGATTTGACTGAGATCTGAAAAATACTGTATTTTAGATTCTCCAGCCAAACAGTCATGATCTTTAAAAGTTTCTAATTTCCCCCAAGTTTCCTTAAAAATGTATTTTACATTCTATATGACTTTATACTTTACCTCTGTGTCCTGGACTTAAAATCTAGCACAGCTAAGGAGATGATGGAGCTGTTTTAATGAGGGTAAAAGAAAACCCAAGAAAATATGGGTTCCATAAAAAATAAGCAAATATATGCCAGATATAGGAAGCTTCAGCCTCTTTGTGCTTTTTTTAAAATGCCAAATGGGACTCTGGATATGGGGAAATGGGCTGAACTCTTTGAGGAGAGAGAAAGTAACTTCTAGTTGGCCCATCCTTAGAGTGAAAAATCATTGCTGTGAAAAACAGTACTCAGCAATTAAGGTGACCAAAAAAAAAAAAAAAAAACCAAACCTGAACTGTTTTCTTCTTCCTGCTTTCTGAAGAGAGGGAAGATGTTAATTGAGAGGACAGATTACAAAGACACATCATCAGTGGAGAGCATGCCACTGTGCTTGGTGCATAACAGGAACTGCAGAAAAATCAGTGCATTCCTGCCACCACAGTAGCAAACCGACTTCAGCTAGCTTACATAGAAAAGCAATTTATTAAAGAGTGCTAGGTATTTCTGCAAGACCAGAGAGTCTCTGTTTGAGGTTATCCTACTGGGAAGATGCTCAGCGCTTACCAGGAAACTGCTTCATGGAGACCCACAGCTGCTCTGGTAGTCCCACACACCTCTACGGGCATCACCTACCTGGACTGCTAGATACTACCAGTCATGCAACTTTTATCCCCCAAAGCTTGAAAGCCTCTATGGCTAGCCTTGCCAGAAAATGGCTTCTTGGGCTCTCACATAGCTCTCTCATAATGAAATCTCAAATAGTGCATTGGATTGCCAGTGACTATATACCATGAGAATCAGGAAAATGGAGTAGCTAGCTTCCACTCTGGGAAATGGGTACATAATGGAAGATGATTCCCAAATGTGAGAATGGTGTGGCTGGGTAGCCACAGGGCATGGCACACATTTTCCATGGAAAGAATGGCTCCATTATAGACGCCGGAAAGTTAGTAGGTCTTGACAGATTAGATATTACAAGTGAGGAAGAGGGGGCAGCACCAGTGACTCTCAGATTTCACATTTGCATCTGTGGTGGATGGCGGTGCCATTACTGAGTTGGGGTGGGCTTGTTCAGTGCAAGAAAAGCCACTGGAGTCAAGAATTCAGTGTGGGGGAATTCTGGGAAGATGACAGCAGAAGTGGCATAATTTGTTAATCTCCTCAAAGCAGCCTATAAAAAGAAACCAAAAATAGCACAATAAAGCCAAACAGTAGTCTTCAACAGTAGGTATAGTCTTCAACAGTAGGTGAGAAGGAATTCCCGTATGTTACAAAATATGAGTGGGTAAGGAGTAACCACTGACAACTTTAAGACCTGCTTTTACCAACACCTGCGCAGGACAGAGGGAAGCAAGGGACATCAGACAGACTGGAGAACCCCAAAGAGCCAAGAAGTACTCACTGGAAACTTCAGAAGACTGACAGGGGTTTTATACTTTAATAATGAATGAGCATAAAGAGCTTGCAGTGAACTCTGAAGGGGCGACAGAAGTCTGGGTCCCATGAAGTCCCACACTAAGTAGTCAAAACTTACGTCTAGGACAAAGTTCCATCACTACAGGAAATGTTGCAAGGAGAATGCAAATTGAGCACCACAGGAGCGGCAAAGTCCAAGGAAATAGCAGGTCCAATTAAAAGTAGGGGAGGACATAGCTCCAGCAAGTAAGTGACACAAATAGAACGAAAAAGAGAGAACTACAGAGCTGTGAAGTTAGAAGGATTATCTGGAGCTACAGTTATTTCTAGAAGTTAAGGAAAACAAATTTTAAATATAAATGAACAAAGAAAAGAATCAGATCTTCGTGTTAACGTAAAAAACAAACAAACAAACAAACAGATTAAGAGGCAGAATAAACATCCCTACAGATTAGGAAGGAACACTAGAGAGACATTACCACAACAGGTCTTGCCACAGAGAGAGGATGTGCTCTGACATGAAAGTAGGGCTTTCATGGCTTATGGTCTGAAGCTTTGTGTCAAGTAAATTGAGGGCCCATGAAGGAACACTGTGACCGTGGGAGACCTTCTCAAGAGAGTTGCCAATGTTCACAGCCCTGAGTCTTGTTAAGGATTCCTTTTCCTCTTCTTATTAGGAGATGTGATGATGCAAAAGGCTGAACTGGGAGGGCATTATAATGAATTGTGGATAGAGATAAGGGATTTTGCCAGTAGACTTTTCAGTGAAGGTTTATTCTAATGAGCTGGGTTTGCTACATTATTTATTCCCATCATGTTGGAATACTCATGAAGCCAAATATTCCACCGTTCAGACTGGACCTTCTCTTTTTTTACGTTATTCCAGTAACTGCAACCCCTGAGCTAGAGGTGCCTAGGAAATGGCAGGGAGTTGCAATGGAGAGGAAAAGAGCTTGAAGGCGGGGAGGAAGTCTTCCTAACAGTAATAATGGCAACTTCCAAAAACACAAACTTGCTACTCTGATTAAATAATCAATTTTTTTAAATAGTAAGAAATAGATGCTTGAGGTTTTTTTTTTTTTTAAGATTTTATTTATTTGAAAGAGAAAGAAAGAACGCACAGGTGGGGAGGGGTTAGGAGGAACAGAGGGAGAGGGAGAAACATACTCCCCACTGAGCAGGGAGCCCAACCTGGGGCTCAATTCAAGGACCTCGAGATCATGACCTAGGCTAAAGGCAGACGCTTAACCAACAGCCACCCAGGCACCCCATGCTTGAGTTTTATTTGAAATGTTTCCTACCTGGGGCACCTGGGCAGCTCAGTCAGTTGATTGGCTGACTCTTTTTTTTTTCTTTTATTTTGAATTTTCATACTTTCATTTAACCCAGTGTATCCAAAATATTTTAATTCTGATGTGGAAGCATTTACAGTTATTAATGATATTTTACATTATTCTTTTTTAAATTTTATTTTATTTTATTTCAGTGTTCCAAAATTCGTTGTTTATGCACCATTCCCAGTACTCCATGCAATACGTGCCCTCCTTAATACCCACCACCAGGCTCACCCAACCCCCACCTCCAAAACCCTCAGTTTGTTTCTCAGAGTCCACAGTCTCCCATGGTTTGTCTCCTCCTCCGATTTCCTCCAACTCATTTCTCCTCTCCATCTCCCAATGTCTTCTGTGTTATTCCTTATGCTCCACAAGTAAGTGAAACCATATGATAATTGACTCTCTTTGCTTGACTTATTTCAGTCAGCATAATCTCTTGATTTAGGCTCACGTTATGATCTGAGGGTTGTGGGATCAAGCCTTGCAGTGGGCTCTGTTCTCAATGGAGAGTCTGCTTGAGATTCTCTCTCTAAAAGTGAATAAATCTTCTTTAAAAAATGCTCCTTATCTATAATACTACCTAGATCTTACATAGATAATTTGGAATTTTTGATAGCATTTAAATTATAAATTTTAAAATACTCTTTCCAAACAACCACACAAATACATTTTTTTCCCAAGCCAAAACAGATATTCCCATGCTTGAAATGCTGTTTCTAATTTCTAACTTATTTTTACAGGCTAATTTGCAAAATGAAATTGTTTGGATGATTGGTTTGCAGTAAACATGGTATACCAAATTGGTTTCTAAATTTAGAGAAAGGTTGAGTCTCCTTTTATAATAATCAAGAAATAATAGAAGCATTAATGATAATGGAGTTTCCATAATTAAAAAGTCAAATTCTGAAATAACAAGCAGAAATAAACTTTAGCAGGTAGTAGCAACATAAATTATAATTCTTGCAAATATTTATTTTGAGCTTTTTTCATGGGATAATGCAATCTCCAATATGCAATTTACTAAATGATAAAACATGTATCATATGTGTCATAATTATATTTCACAGTCTTGTTGAATTTAGTACTATTAGACATAACAAAAATATGGGAAATAGTGCATGAAATTCTGAGAGTCATAAAAGACAAAGTTGTTTTAATTAATGCTTTGATTTCTATGTCTGATATTTAAAATTTTTTACAAAGTAGTAATTGTTATCCATATAAATGTTTTCAAAGAAAAATCTTGCTTACATATAATAGGATTTGCAGATGAACTATATTTTAAATACAGTAGACTCCATGTCCTTTCTTGGAGGTTTTTGAGGACTGATTTTTGGTAATATCTCTTTGGCATAAAATGTTTTATGAAGTCCAACTTCTCGAAGTGCTAACTCAAAACGGAGTCTAGGGTCAGAAATTATCTGTAGAAATAAAGTACATTTAAATAAGTAGCAATTCATTGAACTAAATTACATTTTATTATTTTGTTTCATATTTCCTCAAGCTGTTTAACTTTTTTTCTGGGTAGATGACTATAAACTTGGTATATACAGTGACTATTCTGTTGGGTTTTGTTTGTTTTTTACTGGAAATATCCAGGGGCACCTGAGTCGTTTGGTTGGTTAAGTGGGAAACTCTTTATTTTGGCTCAGGTCATGATCTCAGGGTCTTGGGATAAGCCCCAAGTTGGGGAGTCTGTTTGTGGATTCTCTCTCTCCCTCTTCCTCTACCTCTGCCCCTCTCCCTACTTGGGCTCATTCATGCTCTCGCTCTCTCTCTAAAATAAATAAACAAATCTTTTTAAAAAAGAAAAGTAACACACACAAATTAAATTAAAAGAAAGAAAAAGAGAAGAAAAGGAAATGTCCAAATCTTCTTAGTATGATTATTTTCCAGTGTATCCCTGGTTTCCAACATAAGGTATAGGGAATATCATGCCAAATTAGTTAAAAAAAAAAAAAAAAAAAACCACATTGAATTAAAAAATGGGGTGAAAAAAGTTTACTTTCAGTACTATTCGCTGATTCATTATTGATAGCTAGAATTAGAAAATAAAGACAATCATCATTTAAAATAAATCTAAACCACAACCTTATACACTGGTCTTTAAACATCAATTTCTCCATCATTCAGCAATATGTAAATTATGTTTAAACACATGGCCCCTATTTTAAAAACAACAACAACAAAATCAATCAAACTCTCCTTCCAAGGCTGGATTTCTATTTCAAGCAGGATTAGAAAATGTTTCCACCAATGTGATTCTAAGTGGGAATTGAAATATGAGTAGCTCAATTTCTATTTTCATTTATAGCTGATTGGGCCTTTTTCCTCTTCCCCTTCTTCTATGAACATTAAATATCAACAGACACTGTTTGCTATGATAAGGTAGCTACATATGGATTTTAGCTAATGAGGCATTTTACATGGACTTGAAGTTCCCCTAGAGGATGGGATAATAAGCTGTTGAAAGCAGCCCCTCCTTGAAGAAGCTCTTGAGCTAACAGGGGTAATAAGAATGTATACAGATAACTGCAACTCGCCTGACCCTGCTTCCAAGAGTAGAATAACACGGAGGTGCATTTCCCCATGCAAGTGAGACTAGGATAACCTCAGGTAAGCAACAGGCACTTGAGCTAACTGTGATGTCCACCCTATTCTTCTACAAAGCAGAGTGGGGAGGAAAACAGAGCAGGAAAAGAAGGCACATGCAAATTTAGAGGTGAAATAGGTCAATTTGGGACCAGGGTGGTTCTGGTAGAACAATGGAGTAGCAGTCTGCTACAGTGCTCTACCCATGAAGTACTAAGTGCGTAAACTTGGCTGGCAGCAAGAAGAAAGAACTGTCGAAAACACGATGAAGGGAAGAATCAAGAGATTCTGGCAACTAAAGAGGGAAGGAAATGAGAGACAATGGTGCATGCAAGTCAAAAATACAGAGATTTTGTGTCTGAGAAGCAACGTAGTTGATCCTTCCACTCAGCGTCTCTTCTGGATACAGTCCCTCATCCACATCCAAGGATTCAGGCTCCACCTGTGTGCTCCCTAATTATCTCCTGGATTCACCTGCCTTCTCAGCTTCTGGTTCGTGAAGTTTAAAATGTCTCATTATTCTATTTTTCAAATAGACGAAGTGAAATGGAGATCTCTCTCGAAAGCTGACCTTCATTTCCCCCAATTTACCTCCCCAGAAGCAGCCAATCAGTTTCTCGTAAATATGTTCTAGACATCTTCACCCTAGACATGACAGGAACAAAACACATTCTCTTTCTCCCTAAGTCTGTTTTTACTTCTGTATTCTTATGTGGTTAATGGCAGCCACAACTAATGATTATAATTAACTGAATTACTTCTAGGTGCCAGGCAATATCCTAGGCAATTGGCATTTATTATCCTAATCCTCATAAGAACCTTACAAATTATTATTTTACAGATGAAGTAAACAAGACATAAAGATGTTACTAGCTTACACAAGTTCACATAGCCAGTAAATAGCGGATGTGGATTTGAATCCAAAATGCAGGCTCTCCTCAGTATCACTTGCTACCTAGTTTGGTATCATTACTCGCTCCTCTCAGACAAAGCCATTCATGCCCCCTCGGTCCCGTGTTCATATCAAACAAGAGGAAAAATAATCAAGGCAACTCATTTCAGGCAAAGAGAGCTCGACTTAACAAGATTACTGGTAAACTACAATGATTTTTTGGGGGTGGGGGGGAAGGATTGGAGGGTTTGATTTTAGAGTAGTCTGTTTTTAATAAAGTAAAATGTATCTCGTGGTTAAGTGTTAAGTGCCATCTGAAAAGGGTCTGACCCCCAAACCCACCAATTTTCTATCCAGGACATGTTGCTAACACATATCTGATTATATAATTCACCTGCTTCCGAGTCTCGCCTGTGCTCACAAGATAATGTCTTAGCAAGCTAGAGCTTCTATACTTTTCAAGCTAGAGCTTCTATACTTTTCATCCTGACCGTAATCTAGGTTTCCAGTCTCATCTCCCAGCACCCACCCTTGCCGCTTACTTTACAATGAAGACATGCCAATAAGGGCCCCTTTCTGCCCTCCTCTGCTTGGTGAAACCCTTAATTGCCTCAGCCCAGGTACCTGAAAGTTTTCCAGTTTCTGACCAATTCTCTGCCAACCCCAGCTGCCCTCCCTGCTTTGGCTTCTGGAGACACACTTACATCCTTATAATGAATCCCTTTCTTTTTACCCTACCCCTCCTCCCAACCTATTTTTGTTTGTTTGTTTTTACTTTAAATCACCTAGAGTAAATTTTGTTACTGCTGCTAAGAATCCTCGCCTAAGATGTAGATTAGTTTCTTCCTTGACACTTTGACTTCCCTAGTCAGCGTATCCATGGGTTCCCTTCTGCCTACCACTGCAGCCCTTAGACCTCCACCATGGAGGTAGTCTCACCCCAGGGGCATTACTGCCACACAGGCTACTTTCCCTCCCAACCCAGCTACCCTGCTCACTTCCTCCAAGAGAACAAGTCCATCCTGTTTGGAATGCAGCCCTGGCAACTCCACAATGCCAGAGACACTGTATGTTCCATAAATATTTGTCCGATTAATAAATGAATTGTTCACAAAGAGGCACACTCAATTTATTTGCCAGTGGTGAATGGATGCAGTTTCTTACTTTTTTAAATAATTAAATATTGAGCTGCGCTCTTTAGATTTGTAAAATTAATAAACTAGGGGGAACTACTTTCTCCCTTAATTTCAGTGATATCCATTCATTCATCTGTCTTCCCTCCTGCTTTCCATCCATCCATCCAAAAAGACTTTTTTTAAAAATATTTATTTATTTATTTATTTGACAGACAGAGACCACATGGAAGCAGAGAGGCAGGCAGAGAGAGAGGAGGAAGCAGGCTCCCCGCTGAGCAGAGAGCCGGATGCAGGGCTCGATCCCAGGACCCCAGGATCATGACCTGAGCTGAAGGCAGAGGCTTTAACCCACTGAGCCACCCAGGTGCCCCCCAAAAGACTTTTTAAGATTCTTTCTCGGTAACAGACTAAAAGGAGTCAGAAGTTCCTGGAAATGGTTAAATACACCTTAATATTTTTCCACAGAAAATGATTTCTTTTATCACTAGCTCTGATGTATTATCTTCATTTTAATTTCTGAAAGCTCCCCTCTGCTTTATCCTATCAGTATCATCAGCTGTTACTTTAATAGGACTTATATTATGATTTTAAACAAATTCCAAATGATAAACATTTAAACAAAATACAATATTAACACAACTTTAAAGTTTACAAGTTTTAAAAATAATTTTTAACATAAAAATGTAAATTTAAAAAATAATTTTCGGGATGCCTGGGTGGCTCAAGTCGATTAAGCGGCTGCATTCAGCTCAGGTCGTGTCCCAGGGTCCTGGGATTGAGTCTCACATCGGGCTCCTTGCTCCGTGGGGAGCCTGCTTCTCCCTCTGCCTCTGCCTGCTACTCTGCCTGCCTGTACTCTCTCTATCTCTCTGACAAATAAATAAATAAAATATTTTTAAAAATAAAAAATAAAAAATAATTTTCAGTGACAGATTCATATGTTCAGATAAACTATTCCACGGTCACCTATCAACTATTTTATAACATTACGAATTGGGCAGTGGTTGTGTGTTATCATTTAGCAGTAAAAATTACGTTATTCCATGTGGCATTCAAATGTAAATATTGAAAATAATCTGAAACCAAAACACACACTTCCATAAATCTTACCGTCATGGCTTTTGCATCAATCATGCTAATTCCCATAATTACCTGGTATTCATTGTATGTATTCAATGTAAAGAGTGGCTTTTGAAGAATAAATTCTTCTTCAATTCCAATACCCATCCTTGCTTTCGATGCCGTTGTATCTGACATCATTCTAACGGGATCAAACTGAGCGACAATAGCAACCTAAAAGAAGAAAAAGCACAGCTACTTGGATTAACTACTTCTGGGGAACACTACTATTAATGTTTAATGTCTAATAAAATTTCCTAACTTTAAGGAAGATAAAACCTAAGAAGGAAGGGCAGACAGAATATTAAACCAGGCCAGTCCTAGAAATCCATGAAGGAGTTAATGGTTTAAAAACAAAATATGTTAAAAGGCCATGATATATATTGTTTGCTACTGATTGAATAATTACAGTTACGATTAAATTTAGATAAAAATTTATATTTCTGGTACTAAGAGGAAATCAAGCCTAGAAAACCTACATATTGAACTACCCTAAAAGTAACCAAAAGTAAAAAACATTGACTTTTAACCACTAGCAGTATATGGCCATGGTAACAACCCCATGAAGCTTTCTAGGAAGTTTAATCTGATCAAGCTCAATCTAGAATATATTATTAATGGGTTAAGTTGAGTTGTGTTGGCATCATTGGGCAAGATGGGTGAATGCCATTGTGTAAGTAACTAGAGTTCCAAAGATTATTGTAAACCATTGTTTTCCCTTCTACTGAAAAACTGTATAGTCATTTTAACATAAATGCCCTTGTCCTTTATGATAATTGAAATCATTCAAACCTGTATCCTAATGAAAAGAAGCCACTAATTTTGTAAATTATATGCACCATTAGTAACACCTGCCTGTTAATTCCTAAAGTCAAGAATTAGCATTAAGAAAATGGCATTCTTAATGCCATTTCGAAACCGTAATGACATAACTGAGTTGAACGTACTTTAATTACTATAGGTTTCCTAGCCAAAATGTCTTATACTATAGTTCTAAACACTGATTACAGGTAATGGGCACGGATATTTCCTCTTTCAAAGAGTTCACAGATGGGAAGAATCCTAATTATATGGACTCCGTAGTTATCAAAGTTATATTGTGAACAAGAATGTGTTTAGAAATAGTGACATTAAAGTTTTGTCCCCAGGAATGTAATTATTTGCTAATGATAGAGTAATTTAACGTTTGTTGAATCTAGGATGACAGGTCTTAGGTTCCTATGCTTTGAATTTATTTCTGTCAACTATTTTATCAAGGAAGATGATATAATAGTTGTATGCATTAACACTTCCCCTAAACTATGCCATTTAACTAGACCTCCTCAGTTTGAATCCAGTCTGACAGTTACTAGCTGTGTGACTTTGGGGAACCTATGCCTACTCAGTTTCCTCTTCTATAAAACAGGAATATTGCTATAAAATAGAAATAACACATACATCACGGGGTTGCTGTAGAGATTGAGATAAAACCTAAGAACATTTAGAAGAGGGCTTTATACTTAGTATTAATTTTAAAAATATGAACACACATTGGGCACCTGGGTGGCTCAGTGGGTTAAGCCTCTGCCTTCAGCTCAGGTCATGATCTCAGGGTCCTAGGATCGAGTTCCCCATCGGGCTCTCTGCTCAGCAGGGAGCCTGCTTCCCCCTCTCTGCCTGCCTCTCTGCCTGCTTGTGATCTCTCTCTGTGTGTCAAATAAATAAATAAAATCTTTAAAAGAAAATATGAACACACATTACTGCAAACCTATGGGGCAGGTACTATCATTAGTCCCATCTTTCAGAGGAGGAAAGGAAGCTTAGGGAAGTTAGGTAAAAAATCCAAGTTTCCTCTGCCAGTAAGGACCGAGCCAGGTTGTACCAGGTTTGAAGGACACTGGAGGCCAAGTTCTTATTCAAGATTCCATGTTTCCTCCACCGACATGGAAGGGAAATGAGATAGTCATTTCCTCTCAGCCAGGAAATGATGTCAATGGACTTTGGAGCTTATGATTTGAGCTAATTATTTTCAGATCAAAACCTCTGAAAAATTACCAAGTAAAACTATTTTATCACATTTCTCAAATTCTTAAACTCCTGCTTTTGCGATCTCCTCTCTACTTTAAAAAACTTTTGCCTATTTTCACTAGGCAAAGCAATGGGAGGCTTTAATTAGCTCACAGAAGTTTTAAAAAAGTGGTTTTTCGCATGTTTGCTAACTAAAGGGTATTTCTAAACAGAGGTTCCTACCCCAAAGAGGATTACCTTGCTCTAGCTCCCCCAGGTTTTTTGAGAGCATAAAATCCTTCTGGTAGATGTAGAATTTCACTTCTGTTAATGGATACCCTTCAGCTATTAAACTAGAGGTAATATGGATGCATTTAAATCTTGGGAGAGCTTTTTGAAAGATGCTGATAAAGTTATTTTAATACACTAAGAAACTGGAAATCGTTCAACATAAACCTAATTGCTCCCAGGAGTGAAGACCAGTGTCCCAATTTGGAAAAGTTAGATTTTATATCACAGAGTTTGTGATCTAAGCCTACTAATAATGTTATGAAGGACACTCAGAAACCACCATGAAAATTTCCAAATTAAAAACACCTGTTTCCTAAGGGCTTCTAGACGCCTCTCTCTCTCCTCTTCTTCATGAGCGTCTCGAAGGGCCACTTCTTTTTTCTCCATCAAACGCTTTTCCAGTAATTCTTGTCTATATTTAACCCTTTAAAAATAAGGCAGAAAGACTGGAAAATATCATAATAATTGTGGAAATTATATGGACAGGAGCATAGGGGCAGGAGGCATGTCCGAGGTGACATCATGGCCAGAATTTGTTCTTACTTGCTTCTGGTTGATTTCTCACAGCCACACAATCAAATACACTGGTATAAAATGCAGGCTACAGCAATTCTGAGAACCAGAGAACTGCAGATCAGGAGCTAGGAAAACGTAGGGTAAAATCCAATCCATCTCTTTCATCGCTGAAATCATTGTATTGACTCTCAAACTGTCCGTCGCCTGTCACAGCTGCAGCTAATCTAACCCATCAGATGACAGTCTCACTCCTGAGTGATTATTCCAGCAGCTTTCTGAAGAGCAGTTCTACCACAGTTTGAGATGTTAAAAAGGCTATGTTACTAGTTCAACATCATACTTTTAGAAAGAATAGTAAATAAAATGCTGTAATAATATGCCAAATTACTGGAACTTAAACCAGATTTTTTCTATATTGTCACTCCTTCTGTCAAGAATGCCCTTTTGGATGTGTGTGTGTGTGTGTGTGTGTGTGTGTTAAGTTTAAAAATTGCACTTTGACTGTAGATGGCAGCAAAAACATAATTTTTCCCTTAGCATTGTTTCTATTCTCCTTAAAATCAGCAGATACTAACCCAGAGAACATTTCAATACCTCCAAGCTCATTTGACCCTCTTTTGCTGCCTTTTTTAGACAGCCTCCTTCCCATCTTCTTGCCCAAGCCACTCTTCTATTGAATTTTAGGAATGAGATTTGTCTTTTCTAAAAAAGTAGACACTTGGGTTCTCAAGGGAGTATGAGGTCATTGCCTCTGTCTTCCATTATTGATGGTTTAGATTTAACCTTAAGACATCAGTCACAAATGTGCTTTGCCTTTTGTGCGTATACCTGCATTTTCCACAGATGAACCCTCACTAGACCTATTTAATTCTGGATCTTGAGGTTTACTGAGGTAGCTGTTCACTACACATCAACTCTGTTGCTAAGTGCTTTGTGTGTTTTAGCTCAGACTTCACCACAACTTGATGTTGGGGTACCAGTGTTGATCCCGTTTTAAAGACAAAGAAATGGAGGTATAGACTGGTGATGTAACTTGCCCATGTTTTCACACCCAGCAAGTGGCAGATCCAGAGATCCAACCCAGGCAAACTGGCCCCAGACCTCCCGCTGACCCTGACCCTCCCACCCCCCTGCTATTAGCCACTATGCTCTTCTCTCTTCTCCCCTTGATTTTTCCACTCCCCTCACTGACACGAATACCTGCTGTGTGCTTCCCCTGTGCTAGATATTATAAGCACATCGAGAAAAAGACAGCTCTTAGACACTCGTAGTTTAATATAGAGACAAAAAGACGGGCCTAAGAAGTAGTCAAGGTACGTAGTGCCTTTTGAGAGGTATAAAAAAGGTCCACTGAGATTTGCAAGGTTGTGGGAAGGACTGGGAGGCTTCAGCAAGAGCTTCAGGGAGGAGGCAGCATCTGAGCTGGGTCTCAAGGATTAGCATTTGGAGAGACATGGTAGTGGAGGGCAGGCTGGCCTTCCTGGCAGAGCCAGGACAAGGGTGAGTCAAGAAGGGCGATCACACTCAGGCCCACGCAAACATTGGGTTGGCATCTGAGAGTGGGTAACTTTTAAGTTTTGCCCCCTGGGCACCTTGCTTGCCTTACTGGTCACAGTCCTTTGAAAGGAAGAGTTCAAGGTGGCTAGAACAGAGTAAGGCATCTGAAGCTGTGTCATTTGAGCCGGGTGAATGAATGAAAGAGAAGCCCAGAGAAGTACTGGCAGGCTGAGTCTGGCAGTCTCTTGGTTCCTTCAGGAAGATTTGCTCCTGCAGAGGAAAAAATCTTTAAAATCAGGCTGCTCCTGAGGCTGACATTAAAGCAGCAGCAGCACAGGAGAGGAGAGGAGGGAAGCATGCAGTAGACATTTGCAGAGTATAAAACCTACAGTGGGATTTAGAAGGCAGATCCTAAACTCCTCTGACGGCCATGGCTCTCCTCCTCATCTCCCATATCAGGAGTTAGTGGTCAGATACACAGATTAAAGGAGCTACGAACCACATTGCTCCCTTTCTCCAAGGCCTCCACGTCATGGGAAGCTCTTGCTCATTCTCCCCATTTTCACTAAAGGCATGATACAACCTCCCTAATGAGGTTCTACTCAATTTATGTACTGAGTACAAGCTAAGGGAACTACTGTGAAGGTTCAATTAAAAGATACCCTGGGATTTGATAATTACCATATGCTAATCCTCAGAACCTTTGAAAAGTTTCTCTTCCTCTGGGATATATAGGTTGTTTGTCTGCATCAGAGTTTTGTCTGCTGTGAAAAAGTAATAGTTGTTCCAGTGAGGGGAGCTTGACTAGTGAGGAAGAAGTTGCAAACGAGAATCAGGCATTTGGACCTGTGTCTGAAAAGGCCTGGCTCACAGTTTACTCTGAGGCTCACTTGCTCATTCAACAAATGTTTACTGAGCACCTGTTCTGCATCAGCCACTGTGCCAGGTACTGGAGATACAATTTCAACATGGGAGGCATGCTCTGTCCTCACAGAACTGACAAACTAGTGAGGATACAAAGACCCAGGCAATTTTGATAAGGGGTGGGGGGGTAGTTCTGGAGAAGCCATGTGTCATAGGAGTTGGGAGAGGCACCTTGGCAGAGTGGGGGCATTCAAGGGAGACCCAAGAGGAAGTTCTCCAAATTTCAGACCTGAAAAAGGAGCAGAGGGGGAGAGAATAGGATGTTCCAGGCAGGGAAAAACAACATATGAAGGCCCAGAGGATGACCAAAAGCACACGATGCAAAGTGGGGAGTGCTAAGAGCCAAGGCTGGAGGGGCAGAAGAGGCCAGATGCGGGCTTTGCAAACATGAGGGCCTTGATTAGGGAAATGGGATGATCAGAAAGACCTCTCCTGTAATATGGACATGGATTGTAAAGAGCCAAGACCAGAGAGTGGTATCCACAGGCAAGCTGATGTTTTCCTAACCTAGGGAATGGTAGGAGGTAGATATTGAGGAGATACTGAAGAAGACACAGACTTAAAATTTACGTAGGAAATAGAATAAATTGGAATGTTTAATTTATTTCATGGGAAAGCAGAAGAGATAGAGAAAGGAGTTAACCTTTCTTTTTTGCACAATGAGCAACGGTGTCCCTCAGTACATCTGGGAACTTAGAAAAACAGGGAAAAGAAGGAAAATAGGTTCAGTTGGAACATAGACTAGCCTTCACAGATCTGGGCTGAAGACGGAGATGGGGGATCTTAATCAACAGCATGGAATCCAAGCCATGGAGCAGATGGTATCAATCAGGAAGAGAGTGTGGGGCAATAAGAAAAGTAGGTCTAGGAGAGATAGCCAAGGAAACATTTAGGAAACGGAGAGAGGAGAAAACTGTCTAGGAGAACAGGAAAAATGGTGCCAAAGCAGTGAAGGAAAATGACATTAACACTGTCAAATGATACAGCAAGTTCTGATGTAACACCAAATGGTCACTGGACGAAATAGGAGGGAGTCCTTGGTGATCTTGGCAAGAGATGTCAGAAGAGAGGTGGCTGAAGAATTAGTGGAGCCCACGAGGTGGAGGTGGGTGAGGGACTAGAGACAACCCCTTCAGCAAGACTGTTGCTGCCGTGGGGAGGAGAGAGGGGGGAAGCTGCCGGGAGCTCGCAGCCCATCACACCTGTGTTGCCTCCGAAGTGATGATCAAGATTACTCTGGCCAGCTTGAGGATTTGCCACGGAAAATTTGAGGATTTGCCACGGAAAATTTAAGCAAACAGGCAACACACTGAAATTCTTCATTTATACAGATGCTATGGTTTAAACTCAAATAATAATTCCCTTGAAAAGGGGAAACTCTTGGTGCCGCTTTCTTCTCCCAGTCTGGATAGAAACTTTTCTTTGCCTAAAGAGAGGTGATGCAGAAAAACTCCTGGGAGGAAGCCAAATACTCACATATTCATGGGGAAAGAAAATAGCAACACAGTAAAGTCAATCATTTGGAAAATTTTCCACATAAATACCTTTAGCTATTTGAGGTGGCAGATTTTCTCCAAATTAAACTGTTGCTATGAAAGTCAATGTCAGGAAGTGGCTAAACTCAATAGTCTTTAAGTTGTGCACAGAATTCCTGAACAGGAGTCTTGAGTCCATCCCTCAGTCCGTTTTATGCTCTCTGAGTTCACAGAGGTTGGAAGTGTAGCAAAATGGGCATTTTCAGCTTCTTGTCAAGGAGGAGAGGCATCCTATTATTCAAAAGCAACAGCTACTACAGAATCAGGCCCAGCATTAACAATAATCTGGGAAGGATTTTCTTTAAGCCTCCAGGCCTGAGTAGTTGAAGGGACAGGAAGCTTTCATGTAGAAAGGGAGAGCTGAGGTAGGTTAGGAGACTGTATGTGTGTACTGCTCTCAAACAGATGAATGGACAAATGCAAATGGCTTGGAAGCACCTTGAACCTTAGTAGGAGCATCCCTTTACTTCAGTAAAACTTCATTGAAAACGGGGCAAAATATTATGTACTAAACCTTGACCTGCCTCCTGTCTGGAGCCCAGGTGACTTCAGTCTAAACAAACCTATAGCGACTGAGGGGGTTGGTAGCCTATAATGGCAGGACCTACAATAAAAAAAGACAAAAGTTTAGGCTGTAAATAAAACAACCTTAAGACACGTCTTAATCAGGGTACTGGAACCAGTATTAAATTCCCCCCAAAACTTTTTCAGGGAAGTAATTTGCCTTACTGAATTGAAGGCAGTTTATGTGCAAACTTGCTACTTAGTGTTGAGGTCACGTGGCTCACTCACTATTGAACAAGAACCCTTTAAACAGACACCTGCTGGGGTGCTGCTCCCAGAGGCCCTGGAGCAACAGCGTGCTGAACCTCTTCTTGCCTGTTGGGAAAGCCATTTTTGGCTCAGACGCACTCAGAAAGTCATTCTGCCCACCAAGTGGAGAGAAACTCTT